CACATAATTGGAAGTAAAGCACTCCTCAGCAAATGCAAAACAACTGAAATCATAACGAATACTCTCTCAGACCATAGTGCAATTAAGTTAGAACTCAGAATTTAGAAACTAACTCAGAACCACACAGCTTCATGGAAACTGAACAACTGGCTCTTGAATGTTGATTGGATAAACAATGAAATGAAGGCAGAAATAAAGAAGTTCTTTGAAACCAATGAGAACAAAGATACAACATACCAAAATCTCTGGGACACATTTAAAGCAGTTTATAGAGGAAAATATATAGCAATAAGTGCCCACATGAGAAGAGTGGAGAGATCCAAAATTGACACCCTGTCATCAAAATTGAAAGAGCTAGAGGAGCAAGATCAAAAAAACTCAAAACCTAGCAGAAGACAAGAAATAACTAAGATCAGAGCAGAACTGAAGGAGATAAAGACATGAATAACCCTTCAAAAAATCAATAAATCCAAGAGCTGGTGTCTTGAAATGATCAATAAAATAGACAGACCACTAGCCAGATTGATAAAAAAGAAAAGACAGACTAACCAAAAAGAGGCAATAAAAAACGATAAAGGGGAAATCACCACAGATTCCACAGAAATATAAACCATCATCAGAGAATATTACAAACAGCTCTATGCACATAAACTAGTAAACCTGGAAGAAATGGATAAATTTCGGGACACTTGTGTCCTCCCAAGCCTAAACCAGGAGGAAGCCAAAACTATGAACAGACCTATTGCTCTGAAGTTGAGGCAGCAATTAAAAGCCTACCACACAAAAAAAGCCCAGGTCCAGATGGGTTCACAGCCGAATTCTACCAGACACACAAAGAGAAGCTGGTACCATTCCTTCTGAAACTATTCCAAATAATCCAAAAAGAGGGAATCCTTCCCAAATCATTTTATGAGACCAACATCATCCTGATACCAAAACCCGGCAGAGACTCAATAAGAAAAGAAAACTTCAGGCCAATATCCATGATCAACATAGATGCAAAAATCTTCAATAAAATACTTCGGCAAGCCGATGGCAACGGCACATCAAAAAGCTTATCTACCATGATCAAGTAGGATTCATCCCAGGGATGCAAGGCTGGTTCAACATACGCAAGTCTATAAATGTAATTCACCACATAAAGAGAACCAAAAACAAAAACCACATGATTATCTCAATTGATGCAGAGAAGGCCTCTGCCAAAATTCAACAGCCCTTTATGCTAAAAACCCTCAATAAACTCGGTATTGATGGAATGTATCTCAAAATAATAAAAGCTATTTATGACAAACCAATAGCCAATATCATACTGAATGGGCAAAAACTGGAAGCATTCTTTTTGAAATCTGGCACTAGACAAGGATGCCCTCTCTCACCACTCCTATTCAATATAGTACTGGAAGTTCCAACCAGAGCAATCAGGCAAGAAAAAGAAATAAAGGCTATTCAAATAGGAAAGGAGGAAGTCAAATTGTCTCTATATGCAGATGACATGATAGTATATCTAGAAGACCCCATCGTCTCAGACCAAAAACTCCTGAAACTGATAAGCAACTTCAGCAAAGTGTCAGGATATAAAATCAATGTGCAAAAATCACAAGCATTCCTATACACCAATAACAGACTGAAAGAGAGCCAAATCAAGAATGAACTGCCATTCACAATTGCTACAAAGAGAATAAAATACCTAGGAATACAACTAACAAGAAACGTAAAGGACCTTTTCAAGGAGAACTACAAACCACTGCTCAATGAAATAAGAGAGGACACAAACAGATGGAGAAACATTTCATGTTCATGATTAGGAAGAATCAGTATCGTGAAAATGGCCATACCGCCCAGAGTAATTTACAGACTCAACGCTATCCCCATCAAGCTACCAATGACTTTCTTCGCAGAACTGGAAAAAACCACCTTGAACTTCATATGGAACCAAACAAGAGCCCGCATAGCCAAGACAATTCTAAGCAAAAAGAACACAGCAGGCAGCATCACACTAACGGACTTCAAACTATACTACAAGGCTACAGTAATCAAAACAGCATGGTACTGGTACCAAAACAGAGATATAGACCAATGGAACAGAACAGAGGCCTCAGAGGCAACACAACATATCTACAACCATACAATCTTAGATAAACCTGACAAAAACAAGCAATGGGGAAAGGATTTCCTATTTAATAAATGGTGTTGGGTAAACTGTCTAGCCATGTGCAGAAAGCAGGAACTGGACCCCTTCCTGACACCTTACACTAAAATTAACTCGAAATGGATTCAAGACTTAAACATAAGACCTGACACAATAAAAACCCTAGAAGAAAATCTAGGCAAAACCATTCAGGACATAGGCATAGGCAAGGACTTCATGACCAAAACACCAAAAGCATTGGCAACAAAAGCCAAAATAGACAAATGGGACCTAATCAAACTCCACAGCTTCTGCACAGCAAAAGAAACAGTCACTAGAGTGAATCGGCAACCAACAGAATGGGAAAAAATCTTTGGAGTTCACCCATCAGACAAAGGGCTGATATCCAGAATTTACAAATAACTCAAACAGATTTACAAGAAAAAAACAAACAAGCCCATTCAAAAATGGGCAAAGGATATAAACAGACACTTTACAAAAGAAGACATACATGAGGCCAACAAACATATGAAAAAATGCTGATCATCAGTGGTCATTAGAGAGATGCAAATCAAAACCACATTGAGATACCATCTCCAGATCATTAAAAAAATCTGGAGACAGTGGATGCTGGAGAGGATGTGGAGAAATTGGAACGCTTTTACACTGCTGGTGGGACTGTAAATTAGTTCAACCATTCTGGAAGACAGTGTGGCGATTCCTCAAGGACCTAGAAATAGAAATTCCATTTGACCCAGCAATCCCATTACTGGGTATATATCCAAAGGACTATAAATCGGTCTACTATAAGGACACGTGGACATGAATGTTCATTGCAGCACTGTTTACAATAGCAAAGACCTGAAACCAACCCAAATGCCCATCGATGATAGACTGGACTGGGAAAATGTGGCACATATACACCATGGAATATTATGCAGCAATCAAAAACGATGAGTTCGTGTCCTTTGTAGGGACATGGATGAATCTGGAGAACATCATTCTCAGCAAACTGACACAAGAACAGAAAATGAAATACTGCATATTCTCACTCATAGGTGGGTGATGAACAAGGAGAACACATGGACACAGGGACGGGAGCACTACACACTGGGGTCTATTGGGGGAATAGGGGAGGGACAGTGTGGGGGGGGAGCTAGGGAGGGACAGCACGGGGAGAAATGCCAAATGTGGGTGAAGGGGAGGAAGGCAGCAAAACACACTGCCACGTGTGTACCTATGCATGTTCTGCACATGTACCTCAAAACCTAAAATGCAATCAAAAATAAATTAATTAATTAAAAGTAGATACTAAATTAGATTTTTTGAAAGCACGATCCAACAATATACTGAATTCAAAAAACACACTTTAAATTTTAAAACACAAATAAGTATAAAAATATAGAAAAAGAGATACGATGCAAACATTCAAGATACTAAAGCTGGAGGTCAGGTGTGGTGGCTCACACCTGTAATTCCAACACTTTGAGAGGCCAAGGTGGGGAGGATTGTTTAAGCCTAGGAGTTTGAGGCCAGCCTAAGCAACATCGTGAGACCTCAACACTATAAAATTTTTTTTTAATTAGCCGGGCACACTAGTGTGTGCCTGTTGTCCCAGCTACTCAGGAGGCTGAGATGAGAAAATTACTTAAGCCCAGGAGGTGGAAGTGCAGTGAGCCATGTTTGTACTACTGCACTTCAGCCTAGGTGACAGAGTGAGACCCTGTGTCAAAAAAAAAGTAATAAAGCTGGAATGGGTATGTTAATGTCAAATAAAGCAAACTTTACTAATATAATTTTAAAACCAAATAAAATAACTCATAACTATAGCTGGATATTTCAACACTCTTGTCTCAATAACTGATAGAATAAGTAGACAGTAAATCAGTGAGACCACAAAACACTTAAAACATTCAATCAACTGAACACAATTGACATTTATAGACTGTCCCACTGAATAATAGTGGAATACACATTCCCTTTCAGGGCATGTGGAAATTTCAACAACAGAATATATTATAGGTCATAAAACAAGTCCCAATGAATGTTAAAGAACTGAAATTATGCAGAATATGTTCTCTGACTGCAATGGAATTAAATTAGAAATCAATAACAGTAAAATATCCAGTAACCCTCAAATACTTAAAAATTTAAAAATACATTTCTAAATAATACATGAGTAAAGAAAGAAATTGCAATATTAATGAGTAAATATTTTAAATTTTGTGAAAATAAGAGCTGGCACAGTGGCATGTGCCTATATTCCCAGTTACCTGGGAGGCCAATGTGGAAGAATTACTTGAGGTCAGGTGTTAGAGGCTGCAGTACACTATGATTGTGCCTATGAATAGCCTCTACACTTCAGCCTGGGTAATATAGCCAAGACCTCATCTCTAAAAAACAAAAGAAAACAAAACAAAATAAAAAACTTTAAAACCTAATGAAAATGAAACAAAACATTAATATTTGGGGAATACAGCTAAAACAGTACTTAGAAGAAAATTTGTAGTTTAAAATCAATAATTGAAGAATCCACCTAAGGATTAGGAACTTCATATTTGCCACAGTATTGAAGATACAAATGCATAAAAATAGTTATAAATCTATTTTATGGGTACACAATATATAAAGGGATAGTTTATAACATAAATAACATTAAAATGTGTAACAGAGCTGTGAAGTTTAGCTTTTATATGCAATCAAGATTAAGTTGTTATCAATTCAAAGTGGATTGTTTTAGATTTAGAATATTTTATGTAATCCTCCTGATAACAATGAAGAAAATAGTTATAGAATATACACCAAAAGGAATCAAAACTCACCATTAAAATGTACATTCTGCAGTTGTTGTTGGAGTGTTTATACAATTTATATACTTTGTATTTCATAATTATGATTTTTGGGTTTTCATTCTCACATATGAGATGTGCCTCTCTAAAACCTTTTACATCATTAGCATATAACCCCATCTGATGTGTTTTATATATATGTGTGTGTGTGTGTGTATATATATATATATATATATATATATATATATATATATATATATAATGGATTCCATATAAATAATGGATAGAACTGAAGAACTGACAGATCAATAAGGAAATAAAGGACATGAACAACACTACAAACCAATTGGACCTAACAGACATCTACAGAACACTCCATCAACAACAGCAGAGTATACATTTTTCTCAAGTGTACATGGAACATTGTCCAGGATAAACCACATGTTAGGCTTAAAAAAAAAAGAATTCCTAATAAATTTTAAAAGATTTAAGTCATTCCAAGTATCCTTACTGATCACAATGAAATGAAACAAATCAATAGTAAAAGGAAAACTGGAAAATTCATAAATATGTGGAAATTAACACACTCTTAATAAATGAGCTACAGAGAAAATCAAAGGGAAATTTTAAAATATCTTGACACAAAAAAAGATAAAATATCTTAATACAACAGAAAATGAAAATACCAGCTATCAAAACTTATGAAATGTAGCAAAAGCAGGGCTAAGGGTGAAATTTAAAGCTATAAATGTTAATGTTAAAAGGAAAGATCTAAAATCAACTATCTGATTTTAAACCTTAAGGAACTAGAAAAAAAAAGAACAAACTAAACTCAAAGCTAGCAAAAGAAAGAAAATAATAAGGATTAGAGCAGATATAAATAAAAATAGATAATAGAAAAACAATAGAGAGAATCAATAAAATCAAAAGTTGATTCTTCAAAAATATCAGTAAAATTGACACATCTTTATCTAGATTGACTAAGAAAAACGAGAGAAGATTCTAATTGCTAAAATCAAAATTTAAAATTATTAATAATTTTTATTTGATTACACATTAAAATATTTTGACTATAAAGGGTTAAATAGAATACATTGTTAAAAAACAATTTTTAACTGTTAGAACTAATAAACTAATTTAGCAAAGTTGAATAATACAAAATTAACACATAAATATTAGTTGCATTTCTATATATTAACAATTAACAATTAGAAAAGGAAATCAAGAAAGTAATCCCATTTACAACAGCATCAAAAATAATAAAATACTTAGAAATAAATTTGATCAAGGAGGCAAAAGACTTGTACACCAAAAACTGCAAAATATTACTAAGAGAAATTGAAGAAGATACAACTAAATAGAAATGAAGTCTATACTTGTGATTGGAAGACTTAATATTGTTAAAATGTCTAGACTAGCCAAAGCTATTCTCAAGATTCAATGCAATCTCTATGAAAATCCCAATGGTATTTTTTTGTAAATATAAAAAAACTTAATGTAAAATCTCAAAGGATCCCCAAATGGCCAAACAGTCTTGAAAAAGAAAAGGCCTCACATATCCTGACTTCAAAACATATTACAAAGCTACAATACCCAAAAAGTATCTTGCTGGCAGAAAGACAGATATATGAAATAGAATAGAGATCCCAGAAATAAACCATCCCATATATGATTAAACAATTTTCTGCAAGAGTTCCAAGATCACATGTATCAGTCCATTCTCATGCTGCTATGAAGAAATACTTGAGATTGGTTAATTTACAAAGAGGTTAAAAAAAAAGAGGTTTAATTGGCTCACAATTCCACATAACTGGAGAGGCCTCAGGAAACTTACAATTATGGCAGGAGGGGAACCAAACATACCCTTGTGCACAGGGAAGCAGAGGAAAGAAGTACAAAGGGAAGGGGGAAAATCCCCTTATAAAATCATCAGATCTCTTGAGAACTCACTCACTATCAGGAGAACAACATGGGGGTGACCACCCTCATGATTCAATCCCCACCAGGTGGGATTATGGGAACTACAATTCAAGATGAGATTTGAGTGGGGGTACACAGCCAAGCCATATCAACACACAATGGAGAAAGGGCAGCCTTTTCAACAAATGGTATTGGAAAGACTGGACATATACATGCAAAGGAATGATTTTGAACCCTTACCTAAACCATATGCAAAAATTAACTAAAAATGAATCAAAGACCTAAATGTAAACCTTAAAACTAGAAAACCAGAAGAGAACACAGGGAGAAAACTTTTTGACTGTATTTGTCAATAATTACTTGGATGTGAGACCAAGGCACAGGACACAAAAGAAAAAAATAGATAAACTAGACCTCATCAAAAGTAAAAACTTTTGTATATAAAAAACACTGTCAACAGTGTGAAAAAGCAACCCATAAAATGAGAAAAAACATTTGCAAATTATATATTTATCTGGGGTTAATGTCTAGAACATATGAATAACTCTGTATTATGTATATATAAATGTATATCTTTAAATTTTCTACATATTATAATGTTTTGACATCTTTAAAAAACACCTTTCTAGCTGAAGAGAGACTTTCTATCTAGTCAATTCGTGGAAATAGCAATCATCCCAGATGCACAAACTAATCATTCTAGAGCCATGCCTCCTCTGTCAACCTCGTACATCCCAAGAGGCAATATTCCTCTGACTTAATCATCCCAGGGCCAGGCGCCAGACAAACATGACCACTCCTAGAGTCCAAAGCCCACTGAAAGTGTTCAAATTAGCCATTCCTAAGTTGTTCACACTGCCCTGCTTTGCCTTTCCCATGGGAACCCCAACAAAGGCTCTAGCCTAATGCTTTTCCCTTGGTCTGTCTTCTGCCTTCTGATTACCCTGGTATCTTTCCAATGTGGCCCTGCATGGCATACTATGCCAATACTCCTGTCTTTAGGAGTTGTAAATATAATGACCTTTGATTTATCCTGATTCTCTCCTGTCTTCTCTTGTGGCCCCACCATACTGACTATATCATAAAAGAACACAAAACAAATTCCTGCAACTCCACAACCAAAAAAAAATTTTTTTTTAAATTAAGAAGCATGCAAAGATGCCAGCCTTCAAAGCTCAACCGGGCCTGCATGAGTATGCACAGAAAATTGCAAAGCGGTTCCACACTTCTCACCTTGGGGTTCATTCCCATTATGTCCCCTGTCAGCAGGAATAAGCCAGAGGAATTCACATAGCTTCATTGCCCCAGATTAGGAGCACAAAGTGCACATTCCCCACTCTTCACGGATCCCCTGTGAGCCAAGCTTCTGCAGCACAGCACCTAGACCAGAGCCTTGGCTGACATGCACCCTGCTCTGGAGGCCAGTAGGCACTGCACCTCTCCAACACTAGGGCTCCATCTTCATTATGCCAAGCTCACTCATATGGCTGAACACCACAACCTCAGTTGCAAGGAAATTTGGCCCAAGACCGGCTGTGTCTCTGGTCCTGCACAGCAGAGAAATCCACTTCCAAACCATACTTCCAGCCAGAGGAACAGACTGCCAGTCCTGTCCAGGGTAAGCCTGCATCTGAGCCAGCCAACCTGTCACACACCCTCCCACAAGCAGAAGAGGCTCCTGGGTCTCTGAGCAGTTTACATGCCCCCAGGCCAGTGGAATGGTTATACATCCATGCTCAAGACCTGAGTAACAGCTCTACAGCACCCTTAAACCCCACAGATATTCCCCTGGCCTGTCCACTGGCCCTGTGCACCTATAACGGCTTTTAGAAACAGTCCCACAGGCCACCTCTGGTGGGCACAAACCCAGGCCGACAAAATAGCCAAGAGCCCACAACTCAGACCTGAGAAATAGCCCCATGGACCATAACCCAGCAGACATGCCCTCAGACCAGTTAAGAAATCCCATGCCCATATTTCAAGCCTACTAAACAGCTCCATGAGTCACCCTCCACAGAAATGCTCCCAGCCACGCAGCTGTGTGCCTATGTCCTGGACCTGAGAAATAGTCCCATGGGCCTCCCTCAGCAGACACGAACCTAGGCCAGCTGAGCAGCCATGTACCTACATTCCATCCCTGAGAAACAGCCCTATAGGCCACCCCAGTAGGCATATCCCCAGGTCGACTGAGCAATTGCATGCCCAGAATAACAGCCCCATGGCCCCAATCCCAGGAAGCCAGATCCCAAGTTGGCCAGCCCACCATGTGCATGCAACCCCAACCTGAGAAATCCCTGTGAGCCCACCCCTGGAAAAGTCACACTACTGTCACCACAAACTCTCAATATAGGCCCCTGAGAAACTCCAAATGCCACTAGTGTGACTTACAGCTAAGGAAACTACACAAAGACTACACTACTGCATCCAATTAGAAGAAAGACCAATGCACTCCACCAAACTGACACCTCAAGACCCATTCATACAAATAAGCATTTCCCTACAAAACCTACTCTGTAAAATTGGAAGAGGTAGCTTTTTTAACAGATGCATAAAAATCAACACAGGGACATGTCAAACATGAAAAAGCAAGAAAATATGGCACCTCCAGAAGAAAACAATAACTCTCCAGTAACAGAATGCAATTATAAAAAATAAAAAAACACGACACAGGGAGGGGAGCACTACACACTGGGGTCTGTTGTGGGGAATAGAGGAGGGAAAGTGGGGGTGGGGAGTTGGGGAGAGAGAGCATGGGGAGAAATGCCAAATATAGGTGAAGAGGAGGAAGGCAGCAAATCACACTGCCACATGTGTACCTATGCAACTATCTTGCACGTTCTTCACATGTGCCCCAAAACCTAAAATGCAATAAAAAATATATATATATAATAAAATAAAATAAATACATAAAATACCAGAAAAAGAATTTAAAATAATAATTCTAAGAAAATTCAGTTAGATACAAAAGAATATAGATAGACAATTCAATGAAATCAGAAGAACAATTCATTATTTTAATGATAAATTCAGCAGAGATAGACACCATAGAAAATAACCAAACAAATCCTAGAGCTGAAGAATTCAATGAATGAAATTAAAAAATACAATTGAGAGCTTAAGCAACACACTGGACCAAGCAGAAGGAGGAATTTATAAACTTGAAGACAAATCTTTTGACATAACGTAAGCAGACCAAAAAAACAAAAACAAAGAAACAAACATTTTAAAGAATGAAGAAAGCCTGCAAGATTTAAGAGACATCATTA